TCATGTTCATGACCCCTGGGGAGAAAACCCAAGGGTCTTCACACTGGTGCTTCCAGGAGGGGATGTCTGGGAGAAAGGAGGAGAGCACTGGGCTGGGAAAGGAAGAAGCAACACGAAAAGGAACCAGATGGAGAGTACAGGAAAGACCAAAGATGTGCTGGCAGGCAGGGTGGAAACAAGCAGACTGGATGGAGGAATGGTGAAAAAGCTGGAGCAAGTACAGTCAAGTTTCTGAGGGAGGTCTCAGTCTGTTTCAGAGCTTGAGGAGCAGAGGCTGAAGGGGAATGAAGAACAGCAGGTTGTTTGGGACAGCCTGTATCAGCATCAGGGGAAGGATGGAGAGATGCTGCTTCTAAGGATGGGGTTCAGATGTTTGTGCTGGCCTCTCAAAACACTCACATCACTCTGCTGCTATCTTTATCTAGCCAAAAGCTGATGGACCATAAAACCACACTGAAGGTGAAGCTCATATCCTAGGACAAAGGAGTACCCGTGACAGAAAGTGGTCTCAGATCTCTAATTGAAAGTGATGTTTGTACTGCACACGTGAAGACAAAAGATGAGACAGACACAACAACTTCCAGTCCAAAGGAGCAATTTCTGGCTATCATTGGGATACTTGCCAGCCCCAACTCCTCCACCCCTGACAAAGCCCAAATAAGAGACAGCCATGGAGCTTCTCTCCCTTCCCCAGGAGAGGAACTGCCCTCCAACCACACTTGGCTGGAGCCTTAAGCCTTACCTCCTGATTCCTTTAGAGCCTAAACCCAAGCTTTAGCACTGCAGAAAAGTAAAGATTTCTTAACTTCCTATTGGGTATCTGAAACCAGTAAGCTACTGAAAAACTGAGTTTTCCAATAAATGAATGATTACTGACTTCTGAAATATGTTATGCACTTTTTCTCTTACCAGTGACTGTAAACATGACATTTATAATACTGAGGGAATTTGGTCCCATAACTGGAAGGAGAGGAAACGCAGTGCCAATAATTTATCAAATAAACAACCTGCAAAATATCTCTTAAATAGATTTTCAGCAAAGTACAGGCAACAGGTTTTATTGGTACTTGTTAGCAGTGTCCTGCATATGTCATTTGTATGAATAGGGTCCTATCAAATGCCTGGTGATGAGCCATATTTCAGCACGTTGCCCTTTCTATAGACTCTATTTATACACGAGGATGAGTGAATTGACAAGACAAGAGGTGCGGCGTATAGATTTGATATACTGGCATAAATTTAGGATGATCTACATTATTCATAAGTACTGAAGCCACAAATGAGATATGTAACAACATCCAAAATGAGTGTCAATAGAATCTGTTCCCGCAGTGCACCATCCTATATTCCTATCTGTCACATATTCCTTAGAAATTTTTCCTTCTAAGAAATCTGGTGTGCTCAGTCTGGAAGCAACGTTGCCTTGGGATCTGTGGTAAGACTTGCCTGGAAGGAACAGGCTTTCAGAAAACTGTCTAAAAAGAAACGGACAGAAAACATGAAGAATTTCCTCCTCCCAAATGATTGCCTCTTTTTTTCCAAATCCAGCTGTGCCACAGTTGGGGACCCAAATGTTATTTGGATCAGCTCAATTTCTTGGTGTCTTAAAAACTGCAAAATCAAAACTGAAACAACTGAAATACCACCAGCTCGGAAGGCAACAGACATGACAGAACTGACAAATAAACTAATCCCAAGTCTCTTTTTACAGACCAAAGAGGTGGAAGGATGCAAATCTACATTTTGGAAAACACATATGAGCTAAACCATCAGAAATTTTGAAGCTCACTCGTCATGAATGTACATTTTTAAAAGATTTAATTTACTACAGGTGCACCCAGAATAGGATTTGATTATTCTCTTTATTGCCACGATATCTCAGGCACAAAGCTGTGTGTATCCAGAATAAAACCTGTCTCTTTTTCAGATGGGAGAAACTGTTCACAGAGTAGTGGTTGTCAGAAACCAAGGAACGGAAGGAGCGTGCAAAAGAGTGGTATAAAAATATTAAAGATTAATGACCACTTTCTTGCCAGACACAAACCAGAAGCTCTCCACAGAAGTCCTTAACCTTACATTTGAAAAGGAACTAAGTGTTTTCACCTGCAAAAACCTCAGCCTGGATTTCAGATGAGTGACCTCGACCTGAAAGATTTTGTTTCCTATCTGACCCATCCAATCACTCACACCTATTGCCCTAGTTAAATAAATACAGAAGTGTTACTGAAACACAAGTCATAAAACAGGTCTTGCACTGCCAAGCAAAATAAAAAACATTTACTGTCTTTAATAATTTTAATTTTACAACACATCAATATTATTTAGTTTTACAATCACGAAGATTTTAAACATGTTCTTTCACAAATATAAGGAAATATGGACTTGAAAAATACATCTAGAAATGTTTATTTTGTGGGAATTTTACAGTAAAGGGGGAAAAAAACCAAAGAAATGTACCTGGAATTTCAGTGAAAGCCTCTCCAAGGACGGACACATGAAA